AGTGATGAAGTAGAAATTTTAGATGATGATAAAAATGAAGATGATGGAAGAAATAATATTGATGATCATTATGATAAGGAGGAAGGAGATTATAATAATGAATGGGATAATTAAAATGTAATGAAATAAATAACATTGTAATATTGTATGAAATATAATAATAAATCCAATGCTTAAATAAATATTTTGTTTTATTTTTAATTTTTTAATTACATTGTCAAATAAATTTGATTACAGTAAATTTGATCGACATGGTTACGGTAAATTGATCGAAAAATTTAATTGGCTTATTGATTAGTATCCAGGTACTAATCAAAAATTTTATTTTTTGTAATTGAATAGTACCTATTACTAATCAAGGGGGGTATTTTACAAGGGGGTACTAATGTCAGCGCTGTACGGTAGCAAAAATATATTGAAGGATGAAAGCTTGATAATATATAACAACAGATTTGCAATAGAAATCTAATAGTATATTTTCTTTATGACACGTTACAAAAAGAAGACTTGGCGATATGAATTTTGGGAAAATAACAGAGTTCGTACTGAAAAGTTAGAAGAAACCAAGAAGGGAGACAAGAAAAAGGTATTAAAATTAGCTATGGATGAAAATGAATATGTGACGAAGCTCTGGAAAGCAATAAGAAAAGAAGAAAGAAAACTTTAACTCAGTAAAATTATCCAAATTACGAGTATAGAATTTTGTATTTATTATTGATGATAGACCGTATTATAATAAGCTATTGGATTTGCCTGTTTTCAGTGTGATACGGGGAATAAGTTCTCGCACAATCTTTAAGTTATGTCTAAAAGAGAGGATAAGAAAGCAAAGAACTTTCTCTTAGTCTGTGTGGTAATGCACTTTAGTCGGAGTGCAATTGCTCAAAAGGGTAGGATTAAATCGGTATTTGCCTGGGGCGTGATTGTGATCGTGTGATTTCTCTCTCATCTCGTGAGAGAGGAAGCTAATCTCCGTCTGTTTCCTGACGAATTCTATTAGTTTCGTGTAACAATTTTCTAACTGCTTTCTTCGGAATTGTAATAGATGCCTTTTGTATATCTTGGTGAAAAGTTTATATGTACATCTGTAGTTCAGAGACATTAATAACAAAAAAATATCAAGTCTATTTTCACTATTGCGCCTATATTTTTTTGACATTAGTATATAAAATTTTCGAATAAGTTTGCCCATATCGGGTTTTATTTTTACAGTAACTCGTGTATGTTACAGCCGAAATGTGTGTTTTATTCGCTACTATCTAACCAAGAATAATTATTTTGGGATTGGCTTACACGCATGACGAAGGTGCATAGTCACAAGGTTGGGGATAATCAGTTTTACGTTTCATAATACGAAAATGGTATGTTATTTATTTTTTGAACAAGTATGTTTAACATTCTATATTTGTAAATGTCAAAATCTTCAATGCATCATAGATACACAAGGGTGAATATACCATTTATGTATGAAACAGATTTAATTGTCGTAATTTCATCATTTTCACCTGCATTCATTTTAGAATTACAAGAAAGATTTCCAGATCGACTCGTTATTTAATGTCTGTGAAAATTTTTAATCATTTGATTTGACCAGATGATGTGGTTATCATTGATTATGATATTTTTCAAAGAAATGGAATAATTATACTTTTAGGAACATTTAACAATCGAAAAAAAAGGAATTAAAACAAATTATACTCACTAATTTTCAAATAATTTTGAGACTTATAAATTTAAGAAGGATTTGAAGAAACTTAAATGGTTAAAATCTGTTAATGACGATGATGTTGATTTATTAGAAATTTGATTTTGTCCGTGCATTAGAGATATGGAATTCACAATGTAAACGATGATTTATTATGAACCGGATATTTTTCCGTTTAAATTTAAAAAAAATCCGATAAATTTTATGTAACCGGTATCCTTTGTTTTATGCCTTGCACTCATCTACTTTATTAATGTTATTTTGGTTTATGATAAGTTGTGCTTGTATTGAATAGAATTTATTCCTTTTGTTTTTTTTTTTAAAAAAAACCAATAAAGAAATACATATTCAGCCTTGCTTTCTTTAAAAAAAAAGAAAGGTAATTAATTGCATATGCCATTTAATATCTTCATGCAATGGATGCGCAAATGAAAGTTCCGTATTACAACTATGAGGCAACCTTATTTTTATTTTTATTTTATTTGTCTTAACAACCAACCATTTAAGCGACTCGGTACGTTATGACTGGACTCCTGCATTAAACTCTCGGTGTTGATTTACAATGTTTTTTTTTTTTTTTTTGAAAAGAATCAAATACGACCATTGAGAATTCAAGTTAACCAATCAATTATTTAATTAATTAATTTATTTGTAGCATATAATTTGAGATTAGACAGCAAAAAATAACTTCTTTTTGAAATTTCTTCAAAACATACAGTGGTTTTGGCATTCAGTGAAATCGACATTTGTGATATCACATGATCACGTTGATAATCACGTGTAATAAAAAAAGTTTTTCGTGCGTCGATCAATTTAATTTCACACTCTCTACTAAAAAGTAATAATGCATCCAACGCTTGGTTTATTCGCCAGTCAATTTACAAAACGTAAACCTATAAAAAGAGGGTTATTGGGAGATATTCGAGGAAAATATTTATACCCCATCAAACAAACAAAAATTACACCCCCACCACCACCACCAAAAAAACCAACGAAACCAAAAGAGGAGAAAGAAACGGTACCCTGGAGAACCCAAGCGACGTATCAACAATCATTAAAAGGGTTATATGGAGGCAAACATATACAGTTTGGTAATCAAATAAGTGATTTTGGTAATAAATCAAGAAGGACATGGAAACCGAATGTGCAAAGGGTTAAATTATATTCCGAAGCGTTAAATGAACAATTAATCATTAAATGCACCCCAGCCGCTCTGAAATATATCGATAGAAAAGGTGGATTGGATAGATATATGATGTCCATGAAAGATAAAGAATTAGGTAAAAAGATGTATGATTTAAAATATAAGATTCAATCCAAAATTATTGAAATGGATAAGGAACGAAATAGGTTATCCAGACTTGACGTTGTGAAGGAAGGGGATGAAGGGGAAACGGGAGAGAAAAGAATTTCCTAGGAAATTTTATGTTTTTTTTACGTTTTTGGTGCACGTTTTCATTTGAGAAGTAATATAAAAAAGTTGACTTTGAAAGATGTTTTTTTTTTTTAATTAAATTAACTACTAAATAAACAAATAGTTTGAATAGATTATTCAAATTTTTTCAACATATCAACTCTCGTAAATTTATTTGGAGGATTCGAAGAAGCCTCCTGATTTTGTTCTAGATCATTCCTCTTTTTACCAAATAAACTAATTCTTTTAAAAAAACTCTGTCTCTTCTCCTTTTTTTCTTCCTGCTGAAGTTGAGGTAAAACATAAGCTGTTGAACCTTCTAAAAAACTATCCCTATATTTCAAATGTACATCATAGGTTGTGTATCTATTATTTTTATAACTTTGATAATTAAAAGTATTATCCGATAACCTTTGCGAAGAACCATTTATTTCTTCACTCTTCCTAAATGCGTTAACGGGAGCTACTTTTTCATTCACATTTTGTTGTGGTAAAATACAATCATATGGACTTTCATGATGAAATACTTTTTATCAAATCAATTTTTTTTAAAAAAAAATAATAAAATAAAAAGAAAGATTAAAAAAGGACATAAAGGTTGATTTGATTATGATAAAAAAAAGCAATACCTTTTTGACTCTCCTTTTTTTTAAAAAAAGAAAAAGGAAAGAAAAAAGAAAAAAGAAAAAAAAAAAAAAAAAATCACTCACATCCAGCACCATATAAATATGATGTACCATCCAACAAATCAATATCGTCAACTTTGGATTTTTGTTGATTAGAATGTTTTCCAAGTGTAGTCGGTGTAGACTTATTTATTACTACTTGATTTGGATCATTTACTTCTTTTTCTACATTGTCAATAAATGGGTTATCGTCTTTTTGTTGCCGCTCATTGTCCTCTTGTCTTGTTTGCTCAACTTCCGTTGTGTCAAAAGGGTTTAAATTATGCATTTGAGAATCTAGCTAGATATCTCGTTAGAATCTGAAGTTTCGATTATGAAAGTATCGAATGTCGAGGTAAACAAAAAAAAAAAAAATCAAAAATATGGGTGTAAAAAAAGTTGTTGAGACCATTAAGGAAAAAAAAAGAAAGTCGTCATTATTAGTCTCGTATGGTATTTAAGATTTGCATCTTATGCATCTTATGCATCAAATATGCAACGTGCTAATTGAATTTGGTAGTAACATAAAGAAGCAATAAATTACTTTAGCAACACATTAGTTAACAGTTTTTTTATATTAAAAATAATATTTTTGGCAGAGAATTGCTACCTTACAATCAATAAGAGTACGAATTAAATAAATAAGAAATAAGTAAATAAGTAATATACAAGAAAAATAATACATATATGGTAAACTACAAAAACGTCCAAAATAAGAAATTACAAAAAAATTAAAAAATTACTAAATTACATTTTCGAATCATAATTAACCTTTAAACCCAAATTATATAATAAAGAATAATAGTTGGTATATAAGATATTACTAACTACAAGGTATCAAAAATCTGTATTTTTTATTGACACATATTGTTCCGAGAGAATTTTATTATATACTATGTATAAATATATGTATATGTATAGATAAATTCAAGAAACATTATGATACTCCAATATAGGGGCACCAATATCTTTGATTTCTGGAATGGTGCATCTAAGATCAAACGCTTTAGAAAGAACGATCTTAAAAATTTTTTGCACATTAATTGAATGTGAAGTTGAACAAAAAATTAATGGAGCCTTCATCGCACGAGCAAAGCGACGTGCTTGTTTTGTAATTTCTTCTTTTTCTTCCTTTGAAAAATTGACAAATTGATCATACTTTGTTCCGACCAAAAATGGTATCGCAGTCTAAAACGTCGTTTAGGTGAATCAAAGTTAGCCGATTATGAAAAGTTTTCAATTGTCTTTTTCAGTCAAAGATGAAATCATACCTTATTAAAACCTCTCGCTTGTCTGTACCATTCCTTAATACTATTTAGCGTAGACTTCCGTGATAAATCAAACATAAAAAGGATGGCGACAGCATCATTGCATACTAAAGGCAACATGTTTACAAACTCTCGTTGACCTAGATAATACACCCAATTTATAAATAAATGTACACACGGTAAATGTCATATGAACTTGCGAAAAAAAAACATACCACCAAGATCCCATATACTGAACGTTATTTCAGTGTTTTTTATAGAGATGGTTTTCTCCATAAAATTTACACCTAAATAAGAAAAGAATAGTTAAAATCGAACGTTTTTATTGTTATCATTTTCTTTATTATTATTATTTGAATCATAAATACCCAATGTTTGAATGTAGTCTTCGTCAAATGAACCTTCTACGTATTTAACCATTAAGCTTGTTTTACCGATTTGTGAGTCTCCAACCATACCAACTTTAACGACAACACTACGAGAGAGAGGGAGAGAGTTATTTTAAATTCTCGCACATTGTTCAATTCTATAAGCGAATATTCCAAATAGAAAATGTTTTATGTACCTATTTCTTTGAACGGTTTCGGAACTTTCACTACTGCTCGACATTATAAAATTTTTACTTCTTTATTCGCAAAAAAATATAAATATAAATATATATATTTCCAAGTTCTTTTTTGTAAGAATATTTAAAGAAAAGGAAAATTAAAAAGGAATTTTATCTGCAATAAAAATGTCTGTATCCCAAAATAAGCTACTTCAAACTAAAACACGTGGAAAAATTCAAAATTAATTAATTAGGTTCGAGAAAAAGATTATTCTTCCTAAATTTCTTAAATATATCGTAAAAATGCAACGCTGAGTAAAAGATAAAAATGATGAATTCTTGATTTTGTTTTTTGTAATTTTTCCCTTCCTCCACAAGTATATATATATATATACAGAAAAATAAAAGTGAAAAAAAAAAAAAAAAATTTATTAACAATAAAAGGAGCGGAAAGATTTAGTAAAATAACTATATTTTATATCTTTCAAATTTATTCAATATCACGTTTTACATTTTAATCATCATATCAGAAAAAGGGAATAAAATATGGAGTTGAGGAGGGGAAAAGCGACAACCTGTTTTCGAACCAGGAGTATGCGCCAAGCCATAAGTAAACATGTTTTATTAAGTAATTTCTCATCCCATATTTGGATGAGATTTACATCATAATGTAAAGCAAATTATACTTTAAAAGGGGGAGGGGTAAATATTAACAATTGCAAAGCAACCCTTTTAAATGAATTTTAATTTAAGCCACCAACAAAAAAAAAAAAAATTCTTAATGAACACGTCACCATCATTGAATGACCAATAACTTTATCTCCATGTCTAATATCTCACAAGCTGAAATTGAAAGACCTAGTGTTTATTCTGTTGCCGGGATAGTATTAAACATTCTTTCGGCCATAAAGAATAATAGCATCGATGCGGTAAACGAAATTGACGTGACAACGAATGAGGTGGAATTTAATAGTGATAAATTTCTTGAAGATACAGCAGTTGAGCAAACGCTTTGTGCCATATGGGATTTATCAAGTTTGGAAGAATACGCAAATATACTTGTGAACGAATGTCAAATTCACCGTATAATGTTAAAGGTATGAAATGCCTTTTCTATTTCAGTGTTCGTTCATGTGTTAAAAATAATAATAATAATATATATTTTTTTTTGTTTATTATTTTTAATAAGTTAATCACATCGACAGCACGCAATAGAACCAAAGAATTGTCGTTAGGTGTCCTGGCTAATTTGGCTTGTTTTCCTGATAAAGCAATGATTTTAATTGGGGATATGGATTTGCTTAATATCATCCAAGTCCTTATCAAGGATGATGAAAATGAAGATGATGTACGTGTTTTATTCGAAGCTTCTAGGTATGAAGACTTTTACTAATCATTTTATTATAATTCCATCAACTAATTTAACAACATCTAAAAGCTTCGTAAGAAACATTTTGACGAATTCACCGCATTATAATTCTGATCATGAATCAACTCTATCGGAATTCTTATTCAATGATAATTTGGTGTCAAGATTTAATTATTTTTTAAAAAACACTTTAAATGATGATCTATTTTTCGCAAGTCTGGAAATATTAAATTGCATACTTTTTATTGGAATACCTGAACAACATTTTGAGTTCATGTCATTGGAAATAATTGAATGCTTCAATAATATTTGTGAAAGAATCAGTACTTTTAAAGATATTAGCAGGTTTTCTTTATTTTTACTTTTTTTTAGAAAAAAAAAAATATTTAATCGCTAACATTGTATTAATATTTTAGGAAGTTATTTATAACAATCATTAATCTAATGAATATATTGCTTGAAACTGGATTGATACCACCCGACGTATTTGGTAAGTTACATACAATGATATATTCACCGCCTCTCTTTATTTATTAAACTCAAAATTCTCTTTTTTTTTTTTTTATCTATATGCAAGAGAGGAACCATGGAACTTTATATCAATTACAACATCGAACCAAAGATGAATATTCCGACGAGGATGGGGATGATGATGAAATACTCAATCTGATTGAAACATTTAAGAATAAAATAGAATTATCTAAAAAAAGATGATGGAAAGTACGTTCCCACTTTATAAATAGCAGGATTCCGGATTTTGATTATAGGATAATTTCTATTGAATTTAAGGGGTGCATGACAAACGATTAGCACTTTGTTTACATCTCGTATGACCATTTATAGAATACCCCTTAGAAACCCTTCAAGATCCTCGTCCCAAAACTTGTTTTAATTCAACCCTTAAAAAAATTCAGGTTTAATTGAAATTTTACAAGTCAAACACGTTTTGTTTTAAAATATTTGAAAAATAAATACATTTGTAAATAAGACGATTTTTTTAATATTGTCTAATATTTTTCCTTGAAACTACTTGCTTATGATCTCTTTTCCATTCATCGGATTTTTTCAGTGACTTATTTACTATATTCTATAAAATAAATAAATAAATAAATAAATAATATTAACCAATAACATTCTTGATCATCAAAATAAAAATACGTCTAAAAATACATAATTACAAGCATGTCCAAGTAATGTTGTAATTGTTTTTCGGTGCATAGAATTCCCTGATCAACAATCTCCTTAATTAAGTCATCAAATTGTAATGGCTATAAAGTAAAATAAAAAAAAAGGTTAAATACGCTTTAAATATATACTAAATATATGATCTTCAACTGTTTACCTCATATCTTAAGATCTTCTCATAATACTTTGATATTATATAATTTTTTACTTTTCGTTTGGTATTAACTGATAATTCTGGGTAATCTTTAACGTAAACAATGTTATCTGATGAATTAACTTGGTTAGATGCCTTCATTAAGCAAACATTGGTCGGCAAAATATTTTCAGCATCCGATATAATCTCTTCATGATCTGGTGATTCATCTTCTAAATCTAAATAATTATTTCGATGTAAATAGTTCCAAATAAGGGCCAATTGATGAATCATGGCGGATTTGCTTAAAGGTTTAACTCCATATTTTGCCACGGCATTCTAAATAAAAAGTAGATAGATAAAAAAAATTGGATTCACGATAGCGGAATATTTTTTCTCGATGAAATGAATACACCTACCTTCAATTCGAGAGTTGACATCTTGTGATAATTTGGCATTTTCTTTGGTAAAGAATTATCAGGTGGCTCATTTACATTAGATTCCTCTTTTCTTTGTGCATTATGACCGGAAGAAGTGAAAGTATTATGTGTGCTCGTTAACTTATATTGTTCCATGATGGATTGATTTGCATGATTCTTGTGATTGTTATCATCTTTCGTAACTTTTTTTCCTTGCATTGTTTCCTTTTTTCTTCTTCTAAAGAATTCTAAAGGTTATTTTTAAAATGAAAGAAGAGTGAAATAAATAAACTTTCAAAAAAAAAAAAATTTTTTTTTCTTTGTTTTCAACTAATTTACTAAATGGAGTATATATAAGTTCTTGAAACCTAAGTTAGGATGTGAACAAATAGTACAATCAATAATAAATAGTTGAAAGAAAGCAAAGGGTAAAGATGTAATGGAAAAAAAAAAAACTTTCAACGACTCGAAAAATTCAAATAGGGCCACAATTTCATTTTCCTAAATTGGTAATTCTGATCCATCGGACCTATTTGTCTTATTTGTCGTACAAAATGTCATACTGTTGATTCGTGCATGTTCACATGGCAAATAAATCTAAATCACGTGCACCCCAATAAAAAAAGATTTTTATCATCAAAAAAAAAAATTTCATATTTGATACAACTCGATAAATATGGACGATTCGACTCAAAAATCGAAATAGTATGTATTTTCATTTTCATTTTTTTTTTTTTTTTTTCCTTCCAACCCTTTACATTTTGACGATTCTTTTTATAAATAAATAAATATATATTTTTTTTTCTTTTTTAAAAATAAAAGTAAGCCGGTAACGGTAGAAAAACCAATTCCTTTACAATATGATCTTGCAATATTAGCCGGTTTTGATACAAATGCCTTGGATGAATCTCGATTAAAGTAAATTATCAATTCAAATTTAATCATTTGATTATCGCTTCATATATTTATATTCTATTCCATCCTTTTCTTCAAAGAAATGACGCGGATACCTACCTCGAAGAATATACAAGAGATGGCACTCAACTCATAATCAATCAAATATTTAAATTACCTGTAACATCTTCGGATCTTGGTGTAATGGCTGAATTACCCGACCTTGTTACCGTTTTACCGCGGGAGAAACCTGTAAGGTTTATTGTTATATTTTAATTTATAATACATTGACTAATTTCTTTTTTTTTAAAAAAAAAAAAAAAATTAAAGTTACCAAAACCTAAACCTCTAACAAGATGGGAGAAATTCGCAAAGATTAAGGGTGTACAACATCGTAAAAAGAGTAAAATGATACATGATGAGGCTACTGGTGAATGGGTTCCTCGATGGGGATATAAGGGTACTAATGATGATGGGGCAAATGATTGGTTGATTCCCGTCCCCGATAATGCCGGTAGGTTATTTAATTGTATTTTAATATCTTTTCTTTCAAGTAAAATTATATTTTATCTATTTTCTTTTATTACAGATCCATTTGAAGATCAATTCACCAAAAAACGTGAAGTCAAAAAAGAACGCATTACAAAGAATGAAGCACGCCATAGAAGGAATGTTGAAGAAGCAGAGATTGCATTAAATCAATCAAAGGGTGTAAATGATGTTAATACACGTTCACTACGGAGAACTGAATTACAAAAACAAATTATCATATCTAAAACAGCTACAGCTAGCATGGGAAAGTTTGATAAACATTTGGAAGGGGAACCAAAATTGAAAGGTGTAAAGAGAAAGGTATTTAACATCTAAAATGATTTAAATTTTTTATTTCGAAAAAAGTAACAAAGTTCAATTGATTTTTTTTTAAGTTTGAACCAATTATTGGAGATGTGAAGAAAGAAAAAGAATCAAGTTTAAATATATTAAATAAAGTTGTTGGTAAAAAAGGTGATATAGTTAATGTGAGAAAGGTGAGAAAATTTATTGTTTATAAATAGAAAAGCTTTGAGATGTTTGCTAAAAAAAATTATTATTATTTTTGTAGGCTATTGCTAAAAGAGATCAAAAATAATGTTAAATTATATGTTTATAGACGATATATGCAAATATATATAAATAAATGCTCCATGCTTTCTCAATCAATATAAAATACGTCAAATGAAAATTTACATGAATGGGAAAAGTTCCCACAAAACAAAATTTTCTTTTTGATTTACTGCTGCATTAAAACATCTTCAGTATCTTTATCTTCTTGTTTAGCCTCTATAGATGATTCATTAGTGTCAATTTCCATTGCGACCGGTTCATTACTCTTGTCGTTATTATCATCTTTGGTTTCGGATTTAACATCGTTACTGCTATCGTTACTGTTAGCATTAACATTGTCTTCGGTGTTTTCAGTCGCTTTGGTTGTCGTTTCTTCAACTTGAGTTGAAGAAACGCTGGGTTCTTGTATTTCAGGCTCCTTTGTCGTCACTTCAGGTACTGATGAAACAGCTGGTTTAGGTGTAGTACTCGTCGATGATGATGAATTCATTATTGAAGGACGATCTGCCGAAGGGCTAGATCTTCTAAATGATGTATTTAAAACTTCATCAGCGAATGGACGAGATGATTTTGATATCTTGCTACGTTCTCGAACTGAACTACTTGATTTATGTGCACGAGATGATGAACTGCGCCCTTCATGTTCATTTGACGAATTTTTATGACTAGCGCGCGATTTGCGCGTTGAAGTTTCTCCCTTTCCATTACTACTATGATAACTCCTTTCATTTCGTCTATTTCCTTCATCCTCGGAATCCGAAAGTTCATTTTCCGGCACAACGAGTACATTGCGTTGTCGTTCTACAATATTAGTTTCATATTTTAAATGGGTCATGTAAAATCTAATACTTTTATTATAAACATAATTACGATGTTATACTAACGGGACATTCTTATATCCGGATTTTCGTTATCTTCATCTTCTTCCGATTCATAGTCTTTTGGAACATCTAAAGAATGTAGAAATTGCAATAAACGTAAAATTTTTTATCAAATAAATTTAAAGATAACTTACGTTGCATTTGAACACTTGGTGCAAAAGGAATGCTTCTCAAGTTTTCAAATACCTTTGCTCTAATAATTAAATAAAATAAAATAAAATAAAGGAACTATTTCATATATATATATATATTCTACAAGATAAAAATTCTTAAGTGATAAATTAAACGAGGCTTACTTCATATCGGCTAAATAAGCCGGTGTATTCATATTTTCCATATTATTAGCTGGAACATCTAATTTATATTCAGGACCATAGTAATCCAAAAAGTTATTAAAAGGTAGATCTTCAAAATCAAAAAATATTATTAATATTTATCAAGTTGATCAAATATAATTCTGTATTAAAATAATTACATTCACTTAGGGTTTCTCCTAACAAAAGACCGGTCTCATATGTCCATGCACGAGCCACATTGCGTATGGTATATCCACCCCCACCAACGACCAATAATGGGAGATTAAAGTCTTTAACAAAGTCAACACAAGCAGCATGTCCTTTCATTGACAAATTAAAACAACCCAATCGGTCACCCGCAAGTGAATCTGCGCCACACTGCAAAACCACGGCTCCCGGCCGATACCATTCCATAATATGTTGTACGACCTAATTTATATTAAAATCACCGATAAACAAATAAATGCTGAACACAGAGATATAAAAAGATTCGAGATTTACATACCGGTCGAAATACATTTTGAAAATTCCAATCGTCCATACCATCTTTCAACGGGAAATTAACCGCGTAATGTTTCCCAGAACCAATTCCAACATCCTAAAATGTAAAATAATACTTTAAAATTATCGAAAAGATAGAAATTACAAACAATGTTAGTTTAAATTAAATTTACCGAGACATCGCCAGTTCCCGGAAAAAACTGACCAAATTTATGGAATGAGCAGGTCAACACACGATCCGTCGTATAGAATGCCTCTTCCACTCCGTCTCCATGGTGTATATCGATGTCAATATAGAGAACGCGTTGATGATACCTAGTATTACAGAAAAAAAGGAAACGCGTGTTTAAATCATTTCAAATCATTATAAAATCTTAGAGGCGATTCTATGACTTACCGTAATAGCTCCAAAATAGCTAGTACTATGTCATTCACATAACAAAATCCAGATGCTTCAAATCTTTTGGCATGATGGAGGCCTCCGGACCAATTAATCGCGATATCTGATTCTCCACTGGTTAATTTATTAGCAGCATCTACATGAGGAAGGCCATTTAATACTGCGAAATTCATTACTGCGTTTATCATAATTTAAATTTACCAATTGAACCGCCAGCTGAAATTGAGCAAAACTCGAAAAGTCCTTCAAAAATTGGACAGTCCTCACCGACATTAACTTAAAATTTCAGAAATAAATCAGAGAATGTTTAGAAAAATAAGTCAATAGCAAGCACAAATGAATAGAGTAAACATACATCTAGTTTGTTGCATTGATAATTCTTCAACATTTTGAGGCGTGACTCTATACAAAAAATCGATATATTCGTCCGTATGGAATCGCGTCATTTGTCTCGGAGTAGCGCGTTTTGGACTCTACAAGGAAAATAAGTTTTAATGAAAATATTATATTTACTTGAATTAAAGATAACACTTAAAATGTATTGATCCTATTAATTTTCAACTTAATAATATAATCCGTAGCATTAAACTTGAAAAAGAATATAAAGGATACGAGAACTTCCATTTTTTTAAATAAATTATAGTTCACAACTAAATCATGAACCATACGCATGCGGTGCGGTTTCATCGGGTGACCTATGAAAGTGCAAAGATCACTTTATTAGTTTTTAGAAACAAATACGTGTAAGCGCGTGAATGCAAGGCATGAAAGAAACTATACCTATACCTTGACCGTAGGTAAAGTTCCCAACGTCCTCTAAAGAAAATTGCAAAAAAAATTATAACGTTTAAAATAAAACCGAAGAAATCTTTCAAATAAACCGCGAGCTATACTCTACCATCATAAAAATAAGAAACACGTTTTTTAGATTTAGAGTGGTGTGCAAGGGTTGCCATGGTTAAAAATTTTTTATTGACGGTTTTTTTCCGAAGGTGTGTATTTAGTATTTACGAAAAAGATTTTGGCATTTTTTGGCATTTAAACCTAAATATCACGTGAGCATGCATGAATTTATTACACAAATCATATGATTTAAAATGTTTGACGATTCTCTCGCTCAATGAACCATATTTTGATATGGACCTTGGTACAGAGATTAATGCTGAAGAGATTAATGCAGAAGGACGTAATTCTCGTTCACCAGTTCATAGATTGAAAGATAGCATTAACTCTTATCTGTTTCCTACCTCACGCAGAAATTCACCAATACCTATTAATGATGACACTGAACAGGAAAGTAAAGTAGACCAGTTAAGAACGTATCTAGAGGAGCTGGGTCATCCTTTGGATACTTATCAAATAGAAAAACTTTTAGAACGAAATGCATGGGACGTAAGGGAAGTGGCAGAATATTGTAGTGATCTAAGAGAAGCTGAAGAAGGGATAATAGTTGATATACAAAAGGACATAGTAATGCTGGGGTGTGAGAACGACCGTGTGACTAGCTGTTACATAGGTATGGTTATTAATTATTTTACATATTGAATAACTTATAAAGTGTGCTCCCTAATTAAACATTTTCCTTACACAGATAGTGTTTTATTTGCAATGTTTGCACGAATTCAATCCTTTGATGGTCTTCTTTTTGTACATGCAGAAGGGATGAATGCGCGAAGTTTACAAACACAATTAAGATTGTTTGTGAATAGGCTTCGATCGGGCAAATTTATGAGTGCTTATATTATTAAGGTTAGCCGAAGTATTAAGATTAATATGATGTGATGTTTTCGATAGTTATTTTCAAAATTGATTTGCTGCAAATTAATAGCAATTGCGTGAAAAATTAATAAACTGCGGGTGGATTGGCAATGATGATGATGGAAATCCAACACAAGAGGATGCTAGTGAATTTTTTTTATTTTTGTCTTGTCTTTATGAACTTCCTTATTTACCTCTTGGGATGCATTTATTTCACGGAGCAATTGCTGATCCAAATGATGAGCGTGTCATCACTGAACGGTTGATCCAGGTTGCTATACCTGGTGATCCAATGGATGAAAAGCCTGTTTCTTTGGAAGAAGCATTAGTAAATTATTTTCATGACAATGTAATTTCTGGAATAAAAAGAACTTTTGATAATGAATTTGAACAATCAGAGGTTTCTGCTTGGCAAGTTTTAAAACTCTTGCCATTCTATTCTGCTAGTAATGAGCAAGGTGACTTTAATAGCTATTTGATTAATCATTATAATTTACATTTGATGATTTTATGATTATTTTGTTTTTATTTTAACAAAAATGTCTCTTTAGGTGAAAAGATAAATGCAGTTGAATCACATTTTCCTGCAACTAATTTAATATTACCACTTGTACTTAAACGTTATGGTTATAATGAGAAATTGCAACCATTTCGAATAAAGAAAAATGTATATATACCACCTTTTGTCAACTTTAATGCTTTCGTTAATTCGGATGCTGCGGATGATCCTCCATGTCACTGTGGCATCGATATTCATTATCGTTTAAAATTAAGATCAGGTAATAAAATTTACTGTTAAAATAGATATAATATTTTATCATATATGTTAATAATTAATTATTTTAATTTATCGAAGTTGTTTGTCATTATGGCAACAATCTAACATCAGGGCATTATAAAGGTTTTACTTTGGATGATGTATGTAATACCCTTTATACCTATTACTTTTTTATATTATATAACATAGTGATTAACATCATTTATAGGAGGAAGGATGGTTCAGATTGGATGATCTTGATTATAATGAAAGAGTGACCAAATTTAATTCCTTACAAGAAACGACCATGTTATTCAATGAATTCAGTCGTCATGGTTATTTATTATATTATGAATTACAACGTGTGCATCCAGGATTAGTTGACGAAGAATTGGCAATTGAATATGATTATCATGTAGCACAAAATTTACAATTTGTTGAATTTGCCGATGGAAAAAATAATTGTGTTTTACAATAATATATATATAAGATTGATGATCAAAATCTTTTTACATAATGGCATAATGATCGACCCTATTCTTCATTGCCGATCTTTTGATATAGTGAAATTATTTTTGATTTGCTCTTTACCGAGTCTGAACCGTTGTATTTTAAAATATTAAATACCTTGAATATACTGTATATAATAAGAGTGGAAAATTTTATAACGGATTCTAGATATAGAAACTGTATGTCCTAGGGAATTCGTATTTACTCCTACCTGAATTATATAGTGAAATTTCAAAATTTAATTATTGTAAGCCTATATAACAATTTTAATTTCTTTTTTCATTTTTTACACTTAAATAATATTTCTAGAAAATATCAGCTATTTTTTAATTAAACTCAGTTTTATTTAAAAACCTTATGCTCATTTGATATCATTTATAAATAAAAAAAGTAAATCAAAAAATTTTTTTTTTCAATATTATATATCTGTCATTTTAATTTTTATTAATTAATCAAAAATTCAAATTATAAAAATTAATTATCTAAATAAATTTACTATATAAAATAAAACAATACAGTTTATACATATATTAATAATTAATATATAAAGTTTAATATATAAAATAAAATTAATTTTTCTAGTAATTTTTATATTAAATAATATATTATATAAATATTTTGCAGTAGAAAGGAAGGAAATTACTAAAAAAAAAAATTATTTGGTAGTTTTTTCCTTTTCTACTACAAAATATCTATATAATAATATTAAAGATATAACATAAAATTTTTTATAATATATAAGATCTTTATAATAGAAAAAGAAAATTACCAAAAAAATAAATAAAAAAAGATAAACATAAATATATTTTAATAAAAAATAAAATTGATCTTTTTTATATATATTATAAAGATTTAATTATATTAATTTTATTACTTTATATACATACAGGACAAAAATATCTAGACAATTGCAATTTTACACAAATTTAACTGTATATTGCCGATCTTTAAATAATTATAGAACACCTAATTTCTAATTAAATTTGTTATTTTTTTTTTTTAGAATCCTACAGCTTCATTCTTTTAAATAAAAAAATTTTTTTATAAATAATTATTTTAATATATAAAAATGCCAAAAACCTGTGAGTTTATACTTTTTGAGCATGAAGAAATTATAGGTTTATCAAAGGGCAGATATAGCATAAGAAACATTTCAGAAATTTTTGGCAAATCAAAATCTACTATCAATGATGTAATTACAAAATACAATAAAGAAAACTGCACTGATACTGCATCTAGAAGTAGTAGACCTTCAACTTTATTAGAATAAGATAAACATCAACTAGGAAGAATAGTCTAATGAAATTGTAAATAAGCTGTAGAAGAAATTATTGAATAATTTAATCAGGATCTTAATATTTCATTAAGTAGTAAAACTGTTAAGCGAGCATTATATTTTATAGGTTATTATGGGCATACTGGTAAAAAAAAATCTTTAGTTTCTGATGTAAATAAAAAAACATTTATTTTGGTATCATATTAGAAAAAATTGGCAAGATGAATGAAATTTTATAATTTTTAGTGATAAATCTTGTTTTGAATTATTTAGAAATAATGCTAATCAATAGATTTAGTGTAGGATTTATAAAGCATATACAAAAGATTATTTAATTCTAACAGTTCAAAAGTCAGAAGGAGTTATAGTTTAGAGGTGTTTTTGCAATTTTAAAGTAAGACTATTAGTACTAATTAAGGAAAAATTAAATGCTGAAAAATATGTAAAATTACTTAAATGTTATCTTTACCTTTTCTTAATGAATTTGAATCTAATATCCATACTTTTCAAGATGATAATACTTCAGCATATGTAGCACAATTCACAAAGGGTTGAAAAGAAGAAAATTTACATTAATCACTTTCTTGACCAGCACAGAGCCCTGATTTCAATCTAATTAAGAATTTGTGGGATGTATTAGAAAGAAAGGTTAGAATACATAATTATAAACCAAAAAATAAGTCAGAACTTTTAGCTACTCTTAAAGAAAAATGGTACCAAATTGAACCTGAAAAATTATTAAAGTTAGTTAAAAGTATGTTTTGTAGAATTAAGACTGTAATAAAAAGTAAAGGGTATCCTATACTATATTAATATTATTTTTAGATTAATATAAACTAATTAATGATTAAAATTTATATGTTTTTACTAAAAATTATAATATTGTAATATAGCTAAAAATTTCTTTAATTTTTTTCAGTTTTTTTTATATTATTTCATAACTATCTAACAAAATTTTATAAAAAAATTTATAATTATATATTTCAAATAATAATAAAAAGGTTATTTAGTAATAAAAATTACATTAAGACTAAATATTTAATATAGTAGTGTCCTAGGACATGATAATATATTAATATATTATCATGTCTTAGGACACTACTTGCTCCAGATTATTATGTCCTAGAACGTCATAGTCTATTGATTAATATGTCCTAGGACGTCATAGTCTATTGATTATTTTGTTCTAAAGATTGGGCTGTTTTCCCTTTCTGTGACCTGTTGGTTAGTAAATATAGATTAGATGCACACCTATTTGGTTGCCTGTCTAGGCGTTGAAATAGTGTAAAAAAAAGGTGATTAATTTTGGCTGGCTCTATTAGTTCACCAGTTTCATATGCTTGTTTGGATGCCGAGTTATTATGCCCTTTAGCCTGACCCATTTGATTTCTAGAAGTGTACCATTTGCGATCCAACTATTACACCAGTATAAGTATGCTATTTTCGTATATATTAATAAAAAAATTTCTTGGCACATTTTGGATGACAGGATTCGACCAGTCGCGTCATTAAAGTTCATGAGAATACCTCGATTGGAAAGATACCATATGTCATCATATGTGATAATGAATTTATAAGAAATAAATATGGCATACTGTATTAGTGATAGAGTAGGCATCTTTCAATATTTATATAATAGATTACGAAGTTACCTA